CACCACCACCATCACCACCATCACCACCACCACCACCACCGCCATAACTACCATCAACAGTTACATAACCAGTATCATCCGTTGAAAGGTTACAACTCAATGTCCGGCTATGAAATGATAATTAGGGGTATGACCTCGTCGAAGAGATGTCGTTGGGGCGGCAGATACGATTACGAGAACCACGATGACGAATACAATTCCGACTAGAATAAATATATGGATGCTGAGAGCTCCCTGGAGAAAACTCGGTCGAGAGAGGGGGAAAAAAAAAAAAATAAAAAAAAAAAAGAAGGGAAGAATGGAGGCGAGTGAGAGATAGAAGAAAGGGGAGAATGATAAGAGATACTCGTGCGCGTGTGGTGCGTGTATACGTGCGTCTGTACGAGAAAGGGTTACGCGATGCGTGTGTAGTAGGTGCGCGTGGCTGAGCGGGGGAGGGATGCAGAGAGACGAGGAGGAAGATATGGCGAAGACGGAGAGAGGTAGGTCGTGATGTGTTCCAGTCGTTCGATTTACCTAACTGTGTACAGGGGCGTGTTGGATCGAAAGGGGAAGAGAGAGGAGAAGTCTTGCTTTCCTTTCTTTCTTTCTTTCTTTCTTTCCTTCGCTTTACTTTTACCCTCTCCCTCTCTCCTCATCTTTGCTCGCTCGTTTCTTTCTACCCCCCCCGCACTATCGTCGACCATGACGAAAGGATAACGCGAGATCCTGCCTTGTTTCCACCTCTCGGCGAGGAATTTGCGAATCGCTCAATCCCTGGAAATTAACGGATTATAATTAAAGTGACGAGAGAAAGGAATGTTCGTGGCCGATAAAACGTGGCTCGTGTGACCGCTGCGAATATTGTACATATGTTTTGCCGATTTATGTATTATGTACGCGAGTGCACGAGCCACGCGAATTGGCGAATATTTCCGAATCTGAGGAGAAAAGTGTGAAATCTCTGTCAAGTGAAATGAAGGGAGGGGCGTCTCCTCTCTGCTCGATCAAAAAATCGCAACGACGTCATGCTACGAGATTGATGTGAAATTTAAGAAAAGGCGGGACCTGATGGAATTTTTTTCTAAAATCTCGAGATCATCCACGAGGGAACGAAGAGAGACAGAGAGACAGAGAGAGAGAGAGAGAAAGAGAGAGAACATGACGGTATCTCGCGTTTTTCTAATTAAATTGGCTTATTTATATCGATTACGATGAAAAGGATTAAGAGACACACACACACACACACACATAGAGAACGAAAAAAAAAAGAAGAATGCGCAGTAGTAGATGATTATAGGGGAATGGTGTTGTAGAAAGGAGGGATGAATGAACGGATAGAGAATAGAATGACATGGCGGGGACGATGGAGACGTGTTGCGAGCGAGGACGGGACGGGGACGATCGATAGATCGATCGAAGTAACGACAAGAGACGACAAGTAGAGCTCTCTGGTAGAGGATATAAGAGAAACGGGAATATCAATAGTCGGAGAAAAAAAAAAAAAAAAAAATTAGTGAAACTAGTACGTATCAGAACTCTCGTTGCACGATTTTCGAAGAAAACATGAAAGAATGACGAAGAGAGTGGTAAAACTAGTTGTTAATTACAAGCGATTATTTTCCCCTTTTTCTTTTTCCTGTCCAACCAGTGAGACTTAAACGTACTTAAAGGAAGCTAAACTTTCTTAATCTGTAGTTGAATTAAGGACGAGCGATTGTTCGACAAGTATCGAAAGACGAAGTATAATAATTATTATTATTATCTATTTAAGAAGATATTTTAGGGCTTACGTGCTATATATATTGCAATGCGATGTCGCGACAGAACTAAAGCTCGAAACGTTATTAACAGTGACCCGAGGGATTACGTCACGTTTCATTGTAACGCAGCAAACGCGTTGTACTTAATTTTCTTTTTTTGCTAGTCACACAAGCTCTTATACTTCTCTGTCGATTGCCCAAAGAATATCCAACTTTTTTTTTTTTCTTTTTTGTTTTATTATTATTTTTTTTTCTCTCTCCTTTTTTTTGCCTTTTTTTTCTTTTCTTTTCTTTTCTTTTTTTTTTTTTTTTTCGTTTTTGTCTTTTTTTCTTTTTTTTTTTTTTTATTTTTTTTTTTTTTTCTCTCTCCTTTTTTTGCCTTTTTTTTCTTTTCTTTTCTTTTCTTTTTTTTTTTTTTTTTCGTTTTTGACTTTTTCTCTTTCTTTACGTATAGTTGATATGTACGTATGTATAAGAAATCTTAGCTAGTACAAAGTGCTTTCTTGAGTGCAGAGTCTGATTTTACCGAGCATTGCTTATTAGTGTCCTTCGAATGTGCACCGTCCACTATTTGGACGTTTTAGAAGAATTTTGTCAGCCAAATTTTTAACCAAAATACACACATATGCGCGTATATATATATATGTATATACGTGTGTATATATATATATACATGTGCGCATGTACACATAGATACTTATACA